TCAGCATGGGGGGGAGTAGAAAATGAAGGCTAATCATGTTTTGGGTGTACTATTCCTTTAAGACAGAAAAAAGAAAGAACGGTGAGTTCAGGTGTTTTATAAAATGTGGGAATCAGGAAATTATCTATAAACCGAACTGAACGATTGTTGTTCATGTATAACATGGATGCATAAAAACCTAATTTTATTTCAGTGTTCGATTCCTGTGCAGCTTTAAACTGTAACCATGTTCCTCCTTTCAGGTCATGCAGGTTGTTGATTCTCTTTCTCTGCTGATTTTTAATTGTTTTCCCCGGATGTAGAGTTTAGAGTTTGTAAAGGCAGGAGGCGGATCCTTCAGGCCTGTTGGATCTCATCTACCTTTAAAACTGATTATTCTTTATGGAAAGCTCTCCTGGTGAAATACCAGTTGACATTTGGTCCATTACCAGCTGCTCAGTCAGGGAGGGGCTCAAAGACTGGGATTTATTTAGATAAACAAATCCTCACCGATAAACTGGGCTTCTCTGTGTTTGTAACCAGAATGATGTAATAAATGTTCAATCAGTCGGTGTGTGCAGAATGAGGTGAACTGTGAGTAACCTTGTTTTTTTATTATGAACTGGAGCAAAAGAAGTGAATGAAATGAAAGTGATGGACTGACGGCTGCAGCTCTGTCAGGCCAACATGGAGGGTTGGTCACATGCTGACTCACGCGCATGCTGGAAGCCTGTCCTCATGCGCTTGTATAGCTTGCTCCTCCACTCCCATGTCCTCAGCTGCTTGTCTTTGTGGCACGCCTCCAGCGACAGGCCGTCCCTCTGAGCCTGAGCCGCCAAGTCGGCCGCGCGGCGCTCTGACTCTTCCACCAGGGCGCTCAGGTGAGCCTCGCGGCTCTCCACGCTCACAACTAAAACACACACAAACAATAACAGGCTGCGTTACGTCACACGTAGAATCCTCCAACTAGATCCTCATTTACTTGAATATTGTCAAAATTCAGCCACTAATAAAATGAAAAGTGTCTCAATGGCTTCTGGATAAAACCCGTTCATATATTTTCTAAAAGTTAGCTTTTCTACTGAGGGTAAAATACTAAAGTAAGCCAATAAATTCCTTATTTTCTAAAGGACAGAGCCTTTCATGGTGCGTTTATAAGCTCAGCATCGTCTTTGTGATAAAGCTGCTTCCTCAGTGCTTGGAAATAAAGCTTCATGTTGAGCTTTCTTTAAAACCCACCTAATGTTGGCTAATCCTCGCCTAATTTGCACACCCAAATGGAAAAGCAAATAACTGAGGAACTATGAGCCCAAATTACATGTTTGATACATCATTTGAAAGCTAACAGCTTCTAGTTTCTAAAAATAATGTAACTAAAACACAGACCAAGCTGCATCAGTTCAAACATGACTCAAAGTTTTTCTTTTCGAAAATGATAGATCTTTTTTTTAACAGCGGTAATAAAGCCTTGCTTGGAAATAGATCTCATCGTATTACATTTATCTACATCATGTCAACCAGCAAGCTGGAGAACAGAAAGCTTCAGGAGGGAATAAAGAAACTGAAGAGGAGGAATAATTATGCTGGACAGAACAGAGAATGGAGGAATAACTGATTGGGAGCAGGTGTGGACAGAAGCAGCTAGAAGGGCTCTAAGGGAAAGGAGAGTAACCGAGAAATACAACATGGCTTCAATAGAACTAGAAAATAACTTCTCAGGGAAAGCCCTGTGCCTTCTGAAATACGACCAGAATGTTCACATTTTGAAACATTTCACCTATTCATCCAGGCCAACTATTCCCTCTAACGACCCCGCCCTTTCAGAGACATAGACAGGTATGGGGCATTGCAGGCTAACAAAGGAGCCAAACGACCCCCATTCCAAAGGGGGGGGACCCGTTCATCTGTTTCTATTTGCATGTTTTCTAAACTAAAACCAGGCTTTGTTGGGCTGCTGTATAAAACCTGGAACTAAACGCTATTTCTGACATTTTGAATTGAAAAATCTTCCTGGATGGAAGAGAAACGTCTTTAAACTGGGAAACAAAGTCCAGCGGATGGATTTTTTTTTACCTTTTTTGGTGGAACCAGCTCCCCCGAACATCCTGGGAATCTGGTTTCTATGGTGATTCCCTCTTTTTCAGGGAACTGTTGAGAAACGGAGCCCAAGGCGGCTCTCTGCTCATTACAGCGCCACAGATCTACATCTACTCTCTATGTGAAATGATTCCCAGCTCTGTGTGTCTGAAGCGCATCACATGCTAATTGGCATCTGTCTACGTTGGACCTGACAGGTGAGAGCCTGCCTTTCCAGTTAGGAGTCAGTTAGATTTTGGGTGAATGTTCTCTCTATGCTGATTGGAGAGGACATGGAACTACCCACGGTTTACCAGTTTACACTGTTTTTACCGACATCCAATCTTCCCTGGGGGGGGTTTCGGTTTATTGCTTGCATCATTGCCGCCCTTCACACCTTTATTCATCCATACATGCAGTCTGATTAATGTTTTGGTTTTTCTTTTCATATTGATCTTAAATTCATTTCTTTTTATGGTAGAAGCCCAGACACATGTGACAGATTAACAGACAGTCACACTGTGGCGGCCCCCACCTGACCGATTTACTTGGCACTTGAGGAATGACACAAATAGAGCCGGCGGCCCCTGGAGGCAGAATGACGGCTCTGTTTGTTTACAGTGATGGGATTGTACCGCTGTGTGCAGAGCGAGGCCCGGTTCTGGAGCCCTCGCATGAACCCCCCCCCCATGGCACAATAAATCACTTAGCCGTAATTGCTGCAGCACTACATGCATCGCTGGAAAAGTTCAAGCATTAAACAACGAACGCTGTTAAAGTTGTTCAGCAGGAGGCTGCAGCTCTGTGGAAAGTGGCCCCTGTTTCTGATTCACGTGCACGCTCACGTGCACACCGTAGCAGGAGGTGGGGGCTGAAAACAGGCGGGTAAGAAAAACCTGTCTGGACGACGAGGGGGAGACTGAGGGAGGGGGAGAGCGGGGAGGGATGAGAGTCTGATCTGAGACCAGCTGAGGGTCCAACTAGAGTCTGATCTGAGACCAGCTG